TTCTTTCTTTCTTTCTTTCTTTCTTTCTTTCTTTCTTTCTTTCCTTTTCTTTCTTTCTCTCTCTCTCTTCCTTCCTTCCTTCCTCTCTCTTTCTCTCTCTCTCTTTCTTTCTTTCTTTCTTTCTTTCTTTCTTTCTTTCTTTCTATAAAGATGGGGTTTCACCACGTTGGCCAGGCTGGTCTTGAACTCCTGACCTCAGGTGATCCACCCACCTTGGCCTCCCAATGGCAGCCTTTTCTTCCCATTAAAAACTTGTGGACAGTGGATGCTGGGTGCTATGGCTCATGCCTACAATCCCAGCACTTTGAGAGGCCAAGGTGGGAGGATCATCTAAGGTCAGAGTTCAAGACCAGCCTGGCCAACATGGCGAAGCCCGGTCTCCACTAAGAATACAAAAATTAGCCAGTGGCAGTGGTGCAAGCGCACCTGTATTCCCAGCTACTTGGGAGGCTGAGGCAGGAGAATTGCTTGAATCTGGGAGGTGAAGGTTGCAGTGAGCTGAGATCATGCCATTGCACTCCAGCCTGGGGGCAGAGCAAGATTCCATCTCAAACAAACAAAACTTGTGGACTCCATCTCTCCTACTCCTGCTCCCGCCTCAGAGGAAGAGGTTTGCCTTCTGCTGTCCAGAGCTACTCTGTTTCCTCAGGAACTTGACCCCATCAGTTTGTGCCTCTTTATTAATACTATAGAGTGTAAGACCTTGGAAAAGTGAGTCCTGACATTTGTTTAGTAGCTTTTGTGACCTTGGGCAGTCCAAATGACCTTTCTAAGCCTCAATGTTAACATCTGTAAAATGGAAGTGTAATAGACAGTTCTATCCTTGGAATCCTTAGGGAATTGGTTCCAGGACCCCCTTGGATACCAAAATCTGAGGAGGCTCAACTTCCTGATATAAAATGGTGCAGAAGTGTTTGAGTGTCACCTAAGTACAACCTCTTGTGTACCTTAATAATTTCTAGATTACTTATAAGACCTGATACTATATAAATGTTATGCAAATAGTTCTTCTATGGTATTATTTTTATTTTTTAGATATTGCCTATCTACTGTTGGTTAAATCTGAGAATGTATAGCCAGGTGTGGTGGTGGGCACCTGTAATCCTAACTACTTAGGAGGCTAAGGCAGGAGAATTGCTTGAGCCCAAGAGGTGGAAGTTGCAGAGAGCTGAGATTGCATCGCTACACTTCAGCCTGACTGATAGAGTGAGACTCTGTTTCAAAAAAAAAAAAAATCTGAGGCTGTAGAATCTGTGGATACAAATGACTAACTACATATGCCTGGTGAGATTCTCCTGTTATCAAATGACGTTTATCAGTAAAGTGCATAGCCCAGTTTCTAGCACTTAGCAAATAAAACAGTGCTCCTCCCTCCCCCAAAACACACTCAGAAGATGTCCTCACCTTCCACTTTCTTGAAAAAACAGAAATCCTTGATGGAAAGTCCTGGAACCTGCAGCTGCTCCTAGGCCCAAGCTGTCCTATTCTAATCCTCTTACAGAGACTTCCCTTCCTCCCGTCCAAGGCAATCATTCCCCTGTGCCTGGATCTATCCCCACTGGACACAGGAGCCTCGTTCCCCTGTCACCCCATCCCACGTCTCCCTCACAGTACTGGCTTCCCCCCTCAGCATGCTGATGGCCTTGAACCACTCCCTTCTTCAAAAGAGAAGTACGAGGCCTCTGTCTGGCCTCCCTTCCGGCTCCTGGAGGAGCATCTCGTAGAGCTGCAGCACCATAGGGCATGTCCTCTGCCCTTCTCTGGGAAACATTTACTGTGCGAAGGACCTGTTTCTGGGACCAGCTCTGGTCTTGAGATAATCTGAGATTATCCATTTCAGCCACCCCATGGGTTTCTGGATCTGGGGCGCTTCTCCAGGGGCCAGAAAGGCTTCCACCTCTTGGCATCACTGGGGATAAGGGCTCAGCACTGGACCCTCCTCATCCCCGTTTCAGGGCCTGATGCCGTCTGGTGCCTTCCAGTGCAGACCTTCAATGCTGGCTATGCAGTCCCTTGGGTCTGTTTCCACTGGGGCCGCGACCTCCCCCACCCTTGCCCCTCCCCTGGAAGAGAGTGTGGCAGGAGCTCTGGGTGCCCATCCATCGTGGGATAAAGGTTAAGCCCTGGGGGAGGTGACCCCAGTGACTGTGGTCAAGGACCAGCCAGTCAATCCTGGAGAACACCTGTGGCCTCTGTGGCCCCCGGTGGGACAGTATGTTGATGGTTTAACAGGAATGTGCCGATGGTGGCATGCAGCTCGGGAGAGGGTGATCAGGGATGAGAGAGAGGCCTAGGAGATGCCATGCTGCCCAATGACAAAGGAAATGACATTGAGGCAAGGCCATAAAGTGCGTGGCTATGGACAGGTGTCTGCTTGGCATAGTGGTTTGGGTGAGGAGGTGAAGTAGATGGGAAACTTCCTGTTGAACTGCAGTCATGGGCACCTTGTAATCAAACGGACCAATGTTTCCTCACCATGAAAACATCACGAGGGTTTTTGTTTGTTTATTTGAGACAGTCTCACTCTGAAATGCACTACTGTGATCTCAGATCACTGCAACCTCGACCTCCTGGGCTCAAGTGATCCTCCTGCCTCAGCCTCCCAAGTAGCTGGGACTACAAGTGTGCACCACCATGCTTGGCTGATTTTTGTATTGTTTTGTAGAGACAAGGTTTTTCTATGCTGCCAGGGTTGGTCTAGAACTCCTAGGCTCTAGTGATTCTCTTGCCTCAGCCACCAAAGTGCTGCGATTATAGGCATGAGCCACTGTGCCCAGCCATCATGAGGGTTTTGAGGGAGGAAGGAACGAAGGAAGGAAGGAAGGAAGGAAGGAAGGAAGGAAGGAAGGAAGGAAGGGGAAAGAGAGAGAAAGAAAGAAGAATAACAAAGAGGAGGAGGAGGAGAAAAGGAGAAGAAGGAGGAGGGGGGAGGGAGGGAGGGGAAGAAAGGGAGAAAGAGGGGGTACGGGAGAGGGAGGGAGGAAGGGAGGAAGGAAGGAGGGAAGGAAGGAAGGGAGGGAGGGGAGAAAACCCAACACAACCTGGCTTAAGCAAAGAAAATAATTTGCTGGCCCATGTTACTTAAACAGCTGAACTTGGCTTTAGGCCCAGTGAGGTATCCCAGCTCAAATGGTAGCCATCAGGGCTTAGTCTCTCTCTTTGTGCCAGTTCAGCTCTGTCTTTGTGGTGGCAAGGGCTGCTCAATGTCTCATCCTCTCAGCAACCCCCAAGAAGATAGCTTCTCCCCATGGCTTTGAGCAACGTGCTAGCGCCAAGCTTCATCAGCCTGGCCCAGCTCACCTGTCTGTCCTTGAGGCCAGAGGAGCGGAATGATTGGACTGGCCGGAAGGGGGAGTCAGCAGTCAGTTCTAGCCAGTTTCATGGGGACTGAGAATGGGGCACAGATGGCTGCCCACTGCCCAGCAGGATGGATGTAGGAAGGCAGAATAGTCAATGTCCATTACAGATCATCCTGTCTGGGAATGACACAGGAACAGGTGGGCTCCCAGAAAACTAGGGGCCAGTCAAAACCCACTGGTGATTTTAGAATAATCTCTCCTGCTCTAAAGCCCCAGGGGTAGGTTGGTGAGGGTTCAGAGGTGGAGTGTGGGTTGTTGGTGAGGTCTTGCCCAGAGACCAGTGGACCTCAACTTTCCCAACTGGGGGCCCTATTCCTTCAGTCTTGAACTCTGGCTCCTGTGGGTCGTAGCTTATGGGTCCACAGGTCATGAGTCCTGGGCATAAACAAGCTCTGTCCTTCTCTTCCTTCTTCTCTCCTGCATACAATCAAGGGATAAAGCCATATCACCCACCTCAAAAGCATCAGAGACCCTGGTCTTTTCCAGCAGCCCGAGAGGCCTGAGGCTTCCCTGCCTAGGCCTCTCAGCAGAGTTCCTGGGGGCTGTTGGCCCCAGCCACTTCCCCTCTTCAGGCCATCTCTAGGGTTCAACCCTATCTGAAACCCTCCCTGGCAATGCTAGGGCTGAGCGTTCCAGAGACGAGGGTGTTCAGACTACCCCTCCGGGCTAAAAGGAGCACACACCATGACATAGAAGACAGCATGCCTTTATTTCAGCCACCCTCCCAGGACCCAAATACCATGGCACACGGCCTGGTATCCACAGTGCCAGGTCCCCAAGAGCCCGGCGAACACAGCCCAGCAATGCAGTGTCACAAATCCCTGCCAAGGAGCAGTTCACCCCACCTCCTCAAAGGGGGGTGTCTGGGGTCCACTGCAGATGGGGACAGGGAGCAGGGCCCAGATCCTGAGGGGCAGCACAAAGAAAAGGTGCCGGGTGAGCCCCAGGACATGCTGTAGAGCCTCTGCTGTGGGACTGAAGCCGCAGCCGTGGTAGGTCCCTGCTTTGGCCATCACTGCTCTGCCAGCTGCAGAGCCATCCGCAAGGCAAGGACAACCCTAAGTGTGGGTTCCTGGCGCAGGCCAGCTGGCAGAGGTAGTGTAAACACATCTGAAGGTGGGGGATGTCCAGTGACTGAGCCAGGCCCCGGTGCTCTCATGCGCTGGGAGCTGCCCAGGTCCCGGGAACAGCAGGGGGAGGAGGACGTGAGTCAGCAGGGTACTTCCTAGGCCTGGTCAACCGGAACACTGACTGGGCCCAGGAAATATGATTTTCAGAGAAATGGTGGAAACTGTAGAGAAAGGCAAGGAGAGACTGCCAGGCAGAAAGGGGCTGGCGGGGACACAGAGAGAGAAGAATAGGGCAGAGAGGGAGACAGGAACAGAGAGAGGGGAGGCTGAGGTGTAGAGAGGAGACTGAGGCTTCATCTTCCCCCTTCTCTTTTCCCACTAGATCTGTGAACTCTGGATGGGGGTTCCCCAAGCTCTTCTAGCTGGGAATGGGTCAGGGCTCTTCTCCCCATCACATCCTGTCACTTGAGATTGAGGCCAGCCTGGGAAGGAGGCTGAGTGAAGCTGGGAAGGGACAGGCTCAGTCCTGCCCACTTCACCTCCAAACTGGATCTAACCTCTGGCTCATCCTCCTCTGCTTCCAGGAGGAGCCCTGCCAAGCCTGTTCAAGCTAATCCCTCTGCACTTAATCCTGGACTCTTCCTTGAGGCTGCTGAAATCACACACCATGAACTACTCCAGAGCCTGGCAGGCAGGGAGAGAGGGAAGGAAGGGAAAGGGAGCCAGGTCGGGAACAGGAGGGAAGAGGCAGGGGATTGAGAGCTCTGTCCACACGGTCAGATCCAAGGCCAGAGATGTCAATCTGCCCTTCAATCCCTGGGACCTAAGTACAGAGAAAATATTAAGGAAAATCTTCCAGAATGTCAATAACTTTGAAAAATTCGTGTGTGTGCATGTCTGGTTTTTGTTTTTCATCTTTAATCCATCATATTTAAACAGAATTTAAAATGTTTTAAAATTGCCCTAAATTACTCACTCTAGCAATATCACCTTAGGTAAACCAGAACTCACAAGCGCTGGATTTTTTATTTTTGATACATTCTTCCTTTACCTTTAGGAAGAAAGGGAACACCACTAAGCTTGTGGAAGTCATGAATCAGTTTTTTTAAAAAAAGGCAAAGCCCCCTCCAGGAGCCCCTATCATCCTAATATCTGCTAAGGAGTCCCAAGGTCAATGTCTGTAGGCACCAGGCGGGAATATAAAGGAATGTTCAGAAAATCTTGGTTTCTTGAAGTCTGTGGGGAATGGCGACATCTGGATAAAGGGGGCTGTTGCTGTTTCGCTGCAGCAGATTGTGGTTAAGTGGTGAAGCAAGCCCCATGTGGGGCTTCTGACCTCAAGAGAAGGAGGAAATCTGCTATACATTTTTAAAATGTGAAGCTCTTGATTTTTAAATGTTAGCTCAAAACAAAACACTCCATAGGCCAAACAAAACAAATTTGGTGGCTAGTTTCTAGGCTGGCTTTTATGAAATCTTAGAGATTCCAAGATTTAAGGATCCTAGGATGATTTAGTTCTATGATTCAGAAAATTTAACGAGCATGTCAATATCTTGTGGGAACTTGTTAAAATGCAGGGCTGACTCAGCAGGTCTGAGGCGGGGCATTGAGAGCCTTCATTTCTATCGACCCAGGCCCACCAACACGCTTAGGGTAGGGAGGGTTTAGTTTTGGAATTCCCTCTCACTGTCCTATCCCTGGTCAACGATGTCTCCAGTTCTACCTTCATACCTCCAGGGACTAGACACTCACTACAACTGGTGGCAGCCTAGGTGGCTGCCACTGCTGCTAACTTCTTCCAGGGTCTGTAGCAACGGTGATGGACACCAAGAGTCAAACACACCAAGCCCAGGCTCTGTAAACTCAGAGTTTCACAAAGGAAACTTCAGCTGGGGACTTGCCAGGACAGGGCATTGATAATTGTTGCAAAGATCTAAGCAGAGGTCAGGCGCAGTGGCCCAACCTGTAATCCCAGCACTTTCGGAGGCCGAGGTGGGCAGATCACTTGAGGTCAGGAGTTCAAGACCAGCCTGGGCAACATGGTGAAACCCCGTCTCTACTAACATCACCAAAAAATTACCTGGGCATGGTGGTGGGCACCTGTAATCCCAGCTACTCAAAAGGCTGAGGCAGGAGAATCGTTTGAATCTGGGAGGTGGAGGTTGCAGTGAGTCGAGATTGTGTCACTGCACTGTACTCCAGCCTGGGTGACAAAGCAAAACTCAAAAAAAACAAAAAAAATTTCTAAGCTGAGAGGATTTTCTGTCCAACTGCTTGCTCAGCAGCTCCTAGTTAAACAGAGAATGCTGCTCTGCTTCAGGTGTTCTGGTTAGTAAAGGTTTGGTGCAATTTCCTTTCCTTTCCCCAAAGCCTTGAAGCAAGCTTTTCTCTGCACTTGGGCAAGTTACCTGGTTATGCCCACAGAAGGAGCCAGTATCTGACTGGTGGGAGATGGAGACGGGAATGAAGCTTGAGGCTAAACAGAAGCCCTTGCCCCCTCAGGCCATGGGACAAACCCTTCTCTGGTGGAACAGGAGAACTCCACTTCCTCTGGGGCTGGGGCATCCAATCTCAGATCCTCTTTCCTGGGTCCTTGAGAGACACTGGGAAGCGGAGAATCCCTGACCCTGACATCCCTGATGGACTCAGGGTTCCTAGAGCTGAGGGCCACAAGCCACCCAGCTGTCAGGTGCACAGGGGCCATGGAGACCATTTAGGCCACCCCTCATTTTGCCACTGAGGGGATCACAGCAGAGAGTGCGTGAGACTTTCCCAAGGTCACATGGCTGGCTTGCAACCAGCTCTTGTAAAGGCCCAAAATCCTTTGAGGCAGAGCTGGGCGGAGTCCACCAGCATTAGCCAGACTTCTGGTCACCTATAGCAGCAACTTTCAGGAAAAGGACCTTCCAGAACAATCCTGAAGAAAAGAGGGGTATCTCAGAGGGAAGTCGAGGAAAGGGGTCATGGGGGTTCACCTAGGAAGGAGCCGGTCACGGGTCAGAGTTTCTTGCAGGAGGGGAGTGGGCAGGGCTTCTGCTTTCACATTGTCCTCTGATGACTGCTGCCCCCTAGAGTTGTCTCTCGTGCAGTGCACAGCTTGTGAGGTTTCTGGGGACGCCAGGTTTATGCGCTGGGGATGGGATAGGGCTAGGGGAGGGGTCACAGAAGGCCTTGGTGATAGGGTTTTCCAAGCCTGGATTCCCAGACCACTCCAGACCTACTGAGCCAAAATTCCTCCAGCGGGTGCTTTCCTCCCAGGGGAAGCTCCTGGGTTTAGGAACCAGCCCGGGCTAAGTCAGAAAGGGATCAGGACACCTGGCTCGGGCGGGACGTTCTGCAGGCAGCAGAGAGGATGCGCCGGCTGGGGCGGGGGCCGAGGGGGGCAGCACCTGTCCGGGGCCGGGCCTTACTTCTCAAGAGAACTGGCCAGGCCGCGCCTTCTCCAGCTTCCGTCGCCGCTCGGGTGGGATCTCCTGCAGGCTGATGCCGTGGTTGCTGGCCCTGCGAGGAGGGGGCGGTAGCCTCAGGGAAAGGGAATGGGGCTGGGAGGGCAGGGCCCAGGTCATCGCTGCCTTGCGTGCGGGGGGTCAGACATAAAGCGGGAGGAAGGGGTTCCTCCTCCCTCGCCCCGCCACGGAGGCCGGCCTCTCACCCCGGTTGCAGGTCAGGCGGTTTGGGGATGGGCTTGTTGAAGCCGCGTCTGCCTACTAGCCAGAAAGTGTCCTCGGCGCCCTTGCCCTAGGGAGACATGAAAGAGGGAAGGACTTAGGTGGGCTAGGTTGAGGGGTGGGGGATCTCGAGGTCTGGATGGAACTAGGAGACCCGGTCAGGAAGGGTGAGCTGAGGTTGCCGCCGCGGCCCGGGAGGGGCGGGGCCTTAGGCAGGGCGGGGCCTCTGGAAGAAGTCGGGGGCTCAGGGTGGGCGGGGCCTCCGGGAGGGGGCGGGGCCCTGCTTCACCTTCAGCTCGGTGCGGCCTCGCAGCTCCACCTGGTAGCCCGAGTCCAGAGCTCGGAGAATCCCCACAGTGCTCAAGTTCACGTGGATGCGGTAAGCTGTAGTGGTGGGGGAGGCCGTGAGTTCGGGACTCACCTCCTGTGTCCCCCTCCCACCTCCGCCTCCTGTCCTGGTCCCACTCACGCAGCCCGGTGGACTCCATGCGCGAGGCGGTGTTGACCGTGTCCCCAAACAGGCAGTACCGCGGCATGGTGAGGCCCACCACGCCCGCCACGCATGGACCTGTGGAAATGCTAGGGGTCGGCGGGGATCTTCGCACCCATGATCTCCACCAGCTACCCAAATAAGCCCTGTGAATTGCCTCCTCTACAGGAAATCCGGAGCCAAGCCCTAAAAAGGGAGATGGGCTGGAGCCCGGGGGGGGGGGGACCGGGAGTTACCCGAGTGCAGGCCAATGCGGATGCGCACGGGCACCTCAGGCATATGGCGCATGCGGAAGGTGCCCACGGCGCTGAGGATGTCCAGCGACATGTTGGCGATCTCTGCCGCGTGCCGCTGCCCATTCCGCTGAGGCAGCCCCGAGGCCACCATATAGGCGTCCCCTATTGTCTCCACCTGGGGGAAGGAGTTGTGCGAATTCTGTTTTGAGCATTCCTCCCCCAGTACACGAAGTGATTGCCTCTTGTCACGGGGCCCACCTGGGGTCAGTGCAGAGCCAGGTTGCTAGCCCTGCGACTGAGCTGGGGACTGGAGGAATATATAAGGGACAGGAGGCCTGGGAAAGAAGATTGACTGGGCAGATAGGCTAGGGGCTGAGCAGGAAGGGCTGGGCTGGAGGCTGGGAAAGTCAGGAGGGCTTGTCCCCTACACACTCCACCTTGTAGACATCGTGGGAACCAATGATGGCATCAAACAGCGTGTAGAGGTCGTTGAGCAGGTCCACCACCTCAATGGGCTCACTCATGGCAGAGATGGTGGTGAAACCCACAATGTCACTGAAGTACAGTGTCACTTGCTCAAAGTACTCAGGCTCCACTGGTGTCCCTGTCTTCAAGGCCTCAGCCACAGACCTAGGGATGGCAGGCAATGAGGTCGCCTGGGGGCCACTCTGCCTGGCTGGGCTCCAGCTGCCCTCCCGGCCCACGCCTTCCCCACTGGCACCCACGGAGGCAACATCTGTGTCAGCAGCCGGTCTGTCTTCTGCTTTTCCAGCTCCAGCTCCTCTGTTCGCTCCCGGATCAAGTCCTCCAGGTTACTGGAGTACTGCTCCAGCATCCGAAGCATGGAGTCAATGATGTTTGTCTTCCGGCCCTTGTTGATGTTCTTGAACTAGCAGTAGAAGGAGGCTGGTGAAGCTGCTGAAGACCTGGGCTGCCATGCCCCCCTTCATAGACCCTCTCACAGGCTGTTCATTCCTGACCACCATTCATCTACTATGTGTCAAGCACCCCTAGGGTGCTGAGCACCGTGTTTACAGACACAATTAGAAGGCAAATGGGAAATGAGGGTTCCAGAGGTCAGTTGTTCTCAGCTAGTAATTGACAGGGCACTGGAGCCAGCCCAATCATTGGACTCTCAGGTCAAGAGTCTTTCTGTCAGCAGGCCAAGCACATACTTGGTTCTCAATCAATGTTATTTGAATTGAATATTTCTCCCACCCAGACAGAACTCTATCTCCTACTCCAAAGGCTTTCAGAGCCCCAATTCTAATTCTGCCCCACCAAACCCTGAGCCCTCAGGCTACTCCTTAGGAGGTAGCCTGGGAGGCCAGAGGTCCTGCCAGCCTGCCCGCCTGCAGCTGTCCCAGGTTGCTGGCAAGAATCTGGGATCCCAGAGGCCAGCCCAGTCCTTGCCCACTCCCAGCCCCTGACCAGGTCGAAGGTGAGGTCCATGGAAGGCCGAAGTTCTGGCTGCTCCGCCCAGCACTGCTTCATCAGGTGGATGCACTCTACTGGTGCCTGGTCCATGGACACCAATGGCCGACACAGAGGAGGGGGGCTCCGTACCCTCTGCACCACTTCTGGAGGTATGAAGGGACAGTGAGGGGGGTTCCCCGGAGCACAAGCTGCCTCTGACCCTGGCCTGACTGTTGAAGACCAAGAGGTGGGGGAGGGTGCCTGGCAGGGGGTTCTCTGCATCAGAGCTTCAGTGTGTGTGTGTGGAGGGAGAGTATAGTGTGGAAGGGGGTTGCTAGGAGGAACAAGAGCACCCCGAACTCTGGGGGTCAGTAAGAGCTGACACAGGCAAAGAAACTAACATTTATTTTATGTAAGAAAAGTGAGGGATAGGCCGGGCAAGGTGGCTTATGCCTGTAATCCCAGCACTTTGGGAGGCTGAGGTGGGTGGACCATGAGGTCAGGAGTTCCAGATCAGCCTGGCCAACATAGTGAAACCCTATCTCTACTAAAAATACAAAAAATTAGCCAGGTGTGATGATGGGCGCCTGTAATCCCAGCTACTTGGGAGGTTGAGGCAGGAGAATTGCTTGAACCCGGGACGCGGAGGCTGCAGTGAGCCGAGATCATGCCATTGCACTCCAGCCTGGGTGACAGTGTAAGATTCTGGCTCAAAAAAAAAAAAAGGAAAGTGAGGGATAGGTGATCAAGTAGCTTACTCAGAGTCCTGTGGAGAAGGGATGCAGATTGGAACCAGACTGGACTACCCTTTTACCCACTCCCCAATCCGCTCCTCCCAGGGACCCCTGAGAACCAGAGAGGAAACTGCTCTGTCAGTGTGGGAGCAGGTTGGGTCCAAGATCAAGACAGAGGAAGCTGTTGTGGTCTGGGACCTAATGACCACCCTCTGCACCCTGGCCATGCGTGGCTTTCCACACCGTGACCCACAGACGCCAGCTTTAAGGGGAACTCCGCATAATTAAGTTTCATCACTGGACTTTGCTTTGGAGAAAAGAGTGAGGCTGGCTCTGTCCTAACTGCAGGGTGCCCCTCTGCTAAACTCCATGCCTGGGGCAGTCTTACCCTCAGGAGTCAGCTCCAACATGGCGTAAGGGGCACTTCGGCATACCACTTCCTGCATGATGATGCCCAGGCTAAAGACGTCGCCGGCCAACGTCCCCTTGCGCTCCAGGGCCGGGTCCCTGAGCAGCTCGGGGGCTGTCCACAGCAAGTCTGGGGATGGGGAACGGGCTGTGGGGGCGCTGGGGAAAGACTCCCACCCTCACCAGAGAGCCCAGGTTGGCACCCAGACACCACCAACTCTGCAGCCTGAGACCAGCCCTGCAGCCCTGCAACTACCTCTAGGAGAGACCTCAGAGAAAGCCCGACCCTCACTAATAGGCCTTCCCCTTCAGACAAGGTGGTGCCCACGGAAGGCTCCGCCCCTTGGACACAAGCCCCACCCTCAGGCAAACGTCCACTTAGGGCAGACCCCGCTGCAGGGAGCTCAGGCACAGGTCCTGCTCCCAGCAGCCCTGTCTCCTCAGTCACAGAGCATACCCTCTCAGAGGCCACCAGACCTTTTCTGTAGCAGGAGTTGTGTCCAGTGGATGTGGGATAGAGAGAGTGTGAGAGCAGAGGTGGGGAGGAAGGGAGGGAGAAGCCCTTGAAATAATGGGGATCCCGGTGGATGCTGGTCAGCACAGGAGGCAGCAGGGGACTCTTACCCTCTGCTTTGGGAGGCTCTGGTAGCAGCTTCTGCGCTTCCAGCAGTCTCCCATGGCCATGGTCAGTGATCTTGAGGACGAATCTGCCGTCCACTATACAGTTCCGTGACTTCAGCCGCCCATGAGCTACACCTCGATGGTGCAGATACCTTATTCCCTTTGAAGGGGTAGGGTAAGAGGCAACCTCAGCCCACATGGTTCCCCTGCTCCCCATCCCTGTCCCCAGGACATCCCCCACCACCCCCACCCCCCCCACACCTTGATAAGGTCCAGCAGGAGGGAGGACTTGAACATCCAGTCCAACTTTATCTCTCTCTGAGTGAGGAGGTCCTGGAGGGAGCCCCGCGTGCAGTGTTCTGAGACCACAGCCAGGCTGCCATCCCAGAGGGCAGCAGGGCCTTCTGCTCCCCGAGCCAGGAAGAGCCCCAGGTAGAGGGCCACGTTCTCGTGCCGAAGCTCCTGGAGCTGAGGGGGGAAAGCTGACTGGCATTCTCTGCCCAGGGGCAATGTGGGGAGGGGCCATTAATCAAGATCTGTTTTTGACTATCCAAACTCAGAAGATGAGGTTTTTACAAATGGTGATGAAATGGTCAATAGGGTATTCAGGGGGGCTCTCTCTTTGGAAAAAACAAAATAGTCAAAGGCCATCTGTTTGGATACTGAGTATGGTTTAGCTTAATGCTGTGAAGGAAAAGACGATCTTGCATTGGTGATCAGGACCCAGGCAGGTTCGGATTTATTAACCCTAAGCCTCTTTTTTTAGACATGAGATCTCGCTCTGTTGCCCAGGGTGGAGTGCAGAGGCATGGTCATAAATCACTGCTACTTTGGAATCCTGGGTCCAGATGATCCTCCTACCTCAGCCTCCTGAGTAGCTAGGACTACAGGTATGTGCCACCATGCCTATATAACATTTTTAAAAATTGGAGAGATGTCGGGGGGTGGGGGGGGGGCTCGCTATATTGCCCAGGCTGGTCTTGAACTTCTGGCTTCAAGTGATCCTCCCACCTCAGCCTCCCAAAGTGCTGGAATTATAGGCTCCAGCCACCATGTCCAGCCCCAAACATAAAACTTTGAACTGCCTGGGTCTTAAGGGAAATGACTCATGAAGGAGAAGCTCCTGGAACCACCATCCTCTCCTTCGGATGTAACAGCCTTTGCTGGGGGAACCAGGGAGAAGCTGTGCCTCTTTCTTTCTTTCTTTCTTTCTTTTTTTTTTTAGACAGAGTCTTACTCTCTCACCCAGGCCGGAGTGCAGTGGGGTTATCTTGGGTCACTGCAACCTCCGCCTCCTGGGCTCAAGTGATTCTCCAGTTTCAGCCTCCCAAATAGCTGGGATTACAGGAATGTACCACCATGCCCGGCTAGTTTTTGTATTTTTAGTAGAGACAGTTTTCACTCTTGAACTCCTGACCTCAGGTGATCCACTTGCCTCAGCCTCCCAAAGTGCTGGGATTACAGGTGTGGGCCACCATGCCCGGCCTGAAGCTGTGCCACTTTCAAAGGACACCAGAAATGTCTTGTGCCTGCAGCCTGGCCGGGGGCTGCTTTGCTTGGTGTTACATCATTGTGTCAGGTCTGAGACTCCCGCCCTCTCCAAGTTAGGGAAGACAGGACTGAGCACTCTGCAGGAAAGTGTCCTTGCAATCTAGGCATGCTGAAGAAAATGGTGGCTAGCCAGCTGACTGGTGCCCTTTCTAGCTTTGCTTTGCTCCAAATGCCTAATAAGGGGCTACTTCTCATCATTTAACGCCTGATATTAAATGATGATCAAGTTCATTAATCCTTATACACACAGTCCACTTAAGTCACTGCACCTGTGACCAAGAGCGCCTGTAGAGAAATCAGAGAAGGAGGCCAGGCCAAGGCTGCATGGCGTGGGGGTAAAAGGAGACAATGAGGTTGTAAGGACCAGAATAAGCCATTTTAGAGCCTCCTTCACAACTTTCCACTTTACTCAGAACCTCTAGGACCATTCTGCACAAGTGGCCTGACAGAATCGAAACTTACTTTTTAGTTTCTATCATTAGCTCAACAAACATTCACTGGGTCACTCTAATGTTCCAGACACTGTGTTTGGTGCTGGGAATGCAATGGAGGGGAATGAGGAGGCCCTCACTCAGCTTACAGTCCAGGAGAGAGGCAGAAACAAGCAGGCAGACAGACAAACATACAATTACACATCGCAACAAGATCAAAGGAAATAACTAGTGGTATGACAGAGAATAATGAAAGCCTACTCCAGGGTGAATGAAACACCTTTTTTTTTTTCTTAATTTTGACAGCATCTTGCTCTGTCCACCCAGGCTGGAGTACAGTGGTATGATCACAGCTCATGGTAACTTCCAACTCCTGGGTTCAAACAATCCTCCTTCTTCACCCTCAGAGAGTAGCTGGGACTAAAAGCATGTGATGCCACACCCAGCTAATTTTTAAATTTTTGGAGAGACAGGATTTCTTTACGTTGCCCAGGCTGGTCTTGAACTCCTGGCCTCAGGTGATCCTCCCTCACATCAGCCTCTCAAAGTACCAGGATTACACTCAGCCAGAAGGGAACGCTTAACTGAGACCTACCTCTGTACCCAGCTGCAAAGAGAAGGTGAGAAGGGAGAAACTGATCGCCACCTAGGCCCCATCACAGGCCCAATTCTCACCTTGGAGAAGGCTGTCTTAGTTGCTGGGCGGATAGCTACGTGTTGCTCCCCTGGGAATTTCTTCAGCCAAACCCTGTCTCCCTGCAGCAAAGAGGATGGGGGTAGGGAATTCAGTCTTTTAAAATCCCATGATGGGGAGCCCTAGAACCCCCCCATTTCCATTGGCTCACTGTCCCAGAATGCATCTTCCATTTGACAAAAAGCATTGAAGCAAGGGGTCTCATGTCTGCCCATCCACTTCACAGCCAGCTGGGAGAGGGCCCACCCCCAGATGACAGAGATTTAGAAGGCATGGATGGCTGTCCTCACCACCCCAGGTGTGCCCACCAACAGTCCTATTAAGTGAATTAATACAACCACAAATGTCATTGTCATCACAATCCTTATCACCATCCACTGCCATGAGACAGCAGTGTTCTGGGAGTAAAAAATCTGGGTAGGTCAGGCTTTATTGTAAACTAACTGAACTGTAGACAGCTCCCCTCCAGGTGCTGGACCTCATCCTCAGCTGTTGGCAGGGCCAGTTCATGGGCATGGGACCTGTGCAGTCACACAGGGCCTCATGCTCAGAAGGGCCCACGCTTGGTTCAATGGCCTCTGCCATCATCTTGAATAAAGAAGGAGCCCCTCATTTCTATCTTGCCCTGGATCTCACTAATTATGCAGGTGGCCCTGTCAGTTTATAAGGGATTTGGACTAAAAGGGAATTGGGGTTTAATTCTGACCCCTAAGGAGCATTTGGAAATAAATGTGGGGACATTTTTAATTGTCACAAAAACTAGGAGCTGCAGTTAGTGGACAGAGCCAGAGACATGAAACACTAAACATTCTTCAAGGCACAGAATAGTCCCATACAATTTAGGACAATCTGCTCCAAATGACAATAGTGCCTCCTCTAAGAATTTGCTTTGATGATCTCTGGGTGACATGATAGGAGCCTCTGCATTCCTTCCTGTGACCTGGAGCCCAGGAGCTCCAACTTTCTTCTCTCTTGGTTTGCTCAGTGCTCTCAGCTCTCTCGGAACCTGTTCTCATTATCTCCCATCCACTTGACCACATGCAGGTTTCCTGGCCCCACAGTTAGTGTCCTAATACTTTTTTTTTTTTTTTTTTTTTGACAGAGTCTTTTGTTTTTTTTCCCTTTTTTTTTTTTAGTGGTACAATCTCAGCTCACTGCAACCTCCACCTCTCAGCTTCAAGCGATTCTCCTCCCTCAGTCTCCCGAGTAGCTGGGACTACAGGCGCATGCCACACCTGGCTAATTCTTTGTATTTTTGGTAGAGACAGGGTTTCACCATATTGGCCAGACTGGTCTCGAACTCCTGAACTTGTGATCTGCCCACCTGGGCCTCCCAAAGTGCTGGGATTACAGGCCAATATCCTAATACTTTTTCATGACTTTCTTTCCCCCATCTAGGGCTTGCTATTCCTGAATCTGGTCTGGGTTGGGTGGTAATGCTGAGGGGTCAGGGCCAGAGGCTCTGACCAGGCAGGAGATGGCCTCAGTGGCCACATCAGATTACATGCTGGTCCTAGCATGCTCCCTGGCAGCACCAGCCTCTGGTCTCTGGGTCACTGTGATTAGCCTTTGAGGAGCCCTCACCCAGATAGTGGCTAGGGGAAAATCCCTGGGCAGGGAGATTCCCAGATGCTTCCCTTTGAAGGATCCATGACCTTTCCCTAGATCCTGTCTGGGTTCCCGTCCCCCATCTCCTGGAGCCTGCAGGATTTAACATGACTGCCTGCCCTCTTGGGAATGCGCCTCCCCTCCGACCAGGGCCTGAGCATTCTTTCCCCACTGTCTCTCCTGGAGTAGAGCCCCACCTGGCTGAGGTCAGGCTTACCTCATAGACACCAATGTTGGGGCTGTCTGAGGGTTGGCTAGGGCCACTGCGAATGTCTGATGTGCTGCGGGCAGCCAGACTTGATCGACTCCCCTGGGCCACCTAGTGGGTAGAGGTCAATGCAAGAAGTCAAAATATATTCTGGTGTCAGAGTCCTGGGTTGAGGTCAGGCTGAGTTTTAGGGATTTAAAGATGGGAGTCGAAGGAATCTCAATGAGGGAAGGTGATATTGACATTACTCCCCAAGTGCTCGCTTTACAGTTTTCAAAGCAAAGATTCATTTTCTTGTTGGAGCTTCACCTTCCCCCCAGTAAAGTAGTCAGGACAAGGGCTGTTACCCTCATTGCACAGATGAGGATGCTGCTCCCTAGACCTCAGACCTGGGACAGAATTGGGGTAGAAATCGGACTTCCCAAGTAGAGAGCTGGGGTGAGGGCTGGCCCAGGGAAGGAACCAAATGTACAGAAATAAGACAGCTGGCTCCTGCCTCCCTGCTTCCCCCACCTTTCGAGAGGCACCCCCATGTGGGTGGAGAAAGGTGATGTCGTCCACAGTCAGGATGATCTTGTTGGGGCCGGAGACCATTTGAATGTGAAGTAGCTGGTGCCTGGTGGGGAAAGAGGTCATCTCCAACAAGGGGACCAAGGTCAGTGAGAAGAGGAGGACAGCAGGGGATGGGGTGGAGGGATAATGTTGGCTCAGGGGAGGGGTCTTGGAGGGCAGCCATCCCCAAACCAAATATCCCCTGGGACTCTACCAGCCTCACCCCAAGAAAAATCTCCTCTTCTACTCAAGTGAACCCAGCCTGCTGTTTTTGCTGCAGACTTCCATTTTTGGTACAAGCTCACCTCCTACTTACCTCATTCCACTACTCACCTCACATAATGGGCCAGCAAGGCACCAGCCAGCCCCATCCCAACCACCAGGAGGAAGCCAAGAAAGACGAGGCCCGGCTCCAGTCCTGAAGGGACAGTGAGAGGAGGTATACTAAGGAATAGCCATGGGAGGCCTCTTCTCTAAGGAGGCATGGAGTCATGGCAAATGCTAGAGCCTCCAGGAAAGGGGGATAGGGGCCCAGAGAGGATCTAGAGGGAGATCATAGGTTCCTCAAAGGGGAGAGTCTGGGAAAGCTAGAAAGTTTCCAAGAGGGCTTTGGAGTTCAGCGAGAGAGGAGTCCTTTGCAAGCCAGGGGTTGTGAGAGGACCTAGAAGGCTATCGTAGATGGATTACAGGACAGGAGTCCATTCTCTGTCACCACTTTGTGGATGGTCCATGGTGATTGTCTCAGTGGGGGCCGGGGTCTTTGCCCTCACCTCCATCGCAGATGTTGTTTGGATCGAACCAGCATGACGGGTCAGGCCCGGGTGCTGGTCCCCCACGCGGGAAGTGCATCGGAGTCCCCGCAGAGAGGAGGGAGCCCCGGGCAGGATCCAGCATGTATGTGGCAAAAAGCTGGTCCCCCGCTGCGTCCGTGTCTAGCAGCACGAACGAGGGCTCCTCGTCTCCTCCTAGGTCCCCGCAGAAGCCAGGGGCCTGCGCATCCCAGACATGGCGGGCCACAGCTGCTCCAGACACCCATCTGCCCCCTGCGGCAGCCCGCGCGTCTGCCACGCCCCTCGCCAGCAAGACGACCGCATCGTAGATGGTGCCAAAGAGTGGGGAGACCTGGAGAAGGAGAGTAGGGGCTCAGAGGTCGGGGTCACAGCCCACAGACAGACCAGAATTCCCTAGCCACGCCAATTCTTTCACTGCCCTTCAAGCCCAGGGTGTCCACTCTTCCCACCTTCCAGTTAGTTGTTACCAGGATACCTCCCCATTGGCTAACTCTTCCTCCCTCCCCATTAGCTAATTCTTTGTCTCTCCCCATTGGCTAACTCTTCATCCCTTTCCATTGGCTGTCTCTTCCTCCCTCCCCTATTGGCTGTCACAACTGCTCTCCCCACTAACTGGTTCCTCTTTTCAGGACTCAGCGTCTTCTCTGACCATTGGTTGATTGTAACTCTCCATCACCTATAGATCCTCTCTTCTCCCTGTTGGTTGCCCAGCATATACTTTTAATCTTACCATCTATCATTCACCTAAAAGCCTTCTCAACCCAACTTTTGGTTGGCTTCTATTTTCTATTTTTCCTTAAAAAACAAAACAAGCAAACAAACAAACAAAACTTCTCCAATGTTACCAGTCGATCTTATCAGGCTTCTCTATTATTCCCAGTTCCCATCTCTCAGAGAGCCAGACACTGTGAGAGCACTAAAGATTTATCCGTGTACAAGGCGGACCCCATCTCAAGGAACCTTTCTTCTTGCCAAAGAGATAGGGGTGTTCAGGCAGTGCAATAAGTAAAAGTAGGGGAAACTGAGAAAGCTGCAGAGGCAGGAATGAGTGTCCCCAATCCAGGCTGGAGAAAGAAGAGAAGTGACCATCCCTCAGGGGATGAGTCAGAATTATCCAGGGGAGGCAGGGACAAGAGAGAGGGAACAGCACATTCAGAAACTCAGAGGCAAAAGAGAAGGACACATTTAGAGAAACTGGAGTAGCTTGGTCTGGCTGAAGTTCATGGAAGGTGGAAGAGAAAGGTGGAGAAGGGTGTGGGCAGGTGAGTGTTGAAGCAGAGACCATTTGAGAGATTATGTTTTGGGATTTGGGCTGGTGGTGCTGTGGCCTGAATCAGGGCAGTGGCAGTAAGGATGGGGAAAGTGGATGAATTCAAATGATCTTTAGGAGGTAACAGTAACAGGGCTTGATGTCTGAAATGGGGCCAAAGAGTTCAAGGAATCAAGGGTGACTCACAAGGTCAGAGGCTTGGGCGGCTTGGGCAGCTGAGGGGACAGCCATGGTACTTACTGAGAGCTGAAGGGCTTTTCTCTCCACTTTCTCCACCACCCTTTCTCCACTGACCGACCCTCCCTCCATCCCATCTCACCATGATTCCTCACTTGTATTCTCTTCGGACTATTCCCATTCCTCCTTTCTATTGGCCACCTCTTGGAGGCATCTAGGGGCATTGGTGGGAAATATTGCAACCCCTATGACCCACAGCCTTCTCTCACGTAGTCCCTGTAAGTTGGGCCTTTGTGGTGGTTAATTCACTGCCCATTGACATCTAAATTTCCTTCTTATAGTGGGTTCTAGCCCCCTTTGTGGCGGAGTGAAGTTAGATGGTCTGAACTGGGATTCTGTGGACTTGGGGAACCCTAAATATTAGTTGGATGTTGGAAATATGCTATGTATCTGATTAGTGCTGCCCCTGGATCCACCCAGGGAATTTTCTGCTTCTTGCAAGGTGTCTAGGCCCTTGAAAAGTTAAGACCACCAGATGAGGTCCCAGAGGAAAGATCTCTGAACTAGGAATGAAGGTTGGATTGGCATCCTCCCTCCTTCCTGCTCTCTTGAGAATGCCAGCTGGGAGTATGTGGCGCTGGAACTGGGTTTACTCTGAAGCCAACTGCAAAAGGTTTTGCAGTCTAGAGTTCATTAGAGTTTACTGCTTGACGCTGGACTTCAGAGGTCGCATTGCCTACTCTCTGCAGGCAATCCCCGTACACAAGAGACCCCAAGCAGGGCCAGAGCCTCTCCAATACCTAGGAAACTCCAAACAGCTAGAGCCGCCATTGGTTCTTTCTCCACTGGCTCCATCCTTCTCCTTCTCATTAACTCTATCCTCCTCTCCCCGCTTTGGCTGTCCTCTCCCCTCTGCCTTGCCTTCTGCCCTCCTCCCAGGACCAGCTACCTGCTGCAGATTGAGGTCAGAGGGCAGCTCGCGGCGCTGTTGGGCCTTGCGCAGGCTGTCCAGCACGCTGCCTTCAGATGGACAGTGGCGCGTGAGGGTGAGCACGGCATCATGGGCCTTACGAAGCTGGGAGCTGTTGGCGAGTGCGGCCAACGCCTCCCGGCCTGGGGACAAGGCGTAGTGGATCGTGTCGAAGGGCAGGAAGACCAGGGAGCCATCCGTCAGGCCCAGCTCCTCTGCGGCCTCCAGGAGGTAGCGCTGCTCCTCGCCGCCGAGCAGCACCGAGTGCATCACCATGATCACTGCTGCGGACAGAGGCTTGGCTCGCATCGCCGCCCCGCTGCCGGCAGGACCCACCGACCTCCTCGCACCCTGCAGGGGAGCCTACCTGTGACCCTGGGCCCGTTCCGGACCTTCCTCAGGGCCTCCCGGGCTCCAGACAGGTCCAAGGGCTCCATGGAGGTCACGGAGACTACCGGAAGGCCCCGGGCCCTGAGCGCCGTGGACAATGAGAGTCCCGCCTCCACCCACAGGTCCTGGGGGGCGGTGACCAGGGCCACGCGCGCCCAGCCGAATGCGCGAAGCAGGGCGTAGAGGGCGTCTGCGGCCGGGGTCACTACAGGGGCCGTGGTACCCGCCGCCTGCGTCCCAGGGCAGCCCCAGGGCACCAGCGCGATTCCGGCCTCTTCGGCGAGTAGCTCGGCCGGCCGGCAGGCTGCAGGGTTCACTGGACCCACGAGGCCCGACACGCGGGCCAGCGCGGAGGACACGGCCCCTAGCGAGCCCGGCGTCCGGCACGGCTCGGACAGCAGCGCCACCTCGAAGCGGGGGCCGCCGGCCAGGCTGGGGTCGCGGTTCAGGCGGGCGGAGGCCAGGCGGGCGGCCAGGTCTGGGCGGGCCCTGGAGAAGATGGGGTCGCAAGCCCAGGGGCCCAGGACCCCGACCGTGAACTCGGCGGAGAGGGCGGAGGGCTGCAGTAGGAGGAGGAGCAGCAGGAGCAGCAGGAGCGGGAGCCTGAGCAGGGCCCCGGGGAGGCGGGACAGGGCCGGAGCCCACCGCGCGGGGCCGCAGAGCCCGGGGTCCGGAAGCCCACCCGCTCGGCGGGCGCAGGCGGTCATCGCCGGCTTCTGCGAACACAGGCGGAGCAGGTTGAGCGACGGAGACCCCCGGCCTCCCTTAGGGCTCTCCCCGCGACCCCGAGTTTCTCCAAGCCCAGTAACCCATGGGATGATTCTGCGCTACCGCCCCCTCCGGAGGCTGGGGAGACTAACGGGGGGCCAAGGACACCGCGCCGAAGCCCCCTTCTGCGGCCCTGGCCTCCTGCTCCCACCCGGTCTGCCCCTCCCCCCGTCGGAGGCATCGGGGGGTCAGCAGGGACTCGCCTGCGCCCTCAGACCGACCGTATCCCAGCGGAGGGGCCTCTGACACTCACCGGGAAGTCCGGGGCTCGGGCCCACGGCCCCGGTGAGGGGTCACAGGGCCGGTCCCCCTTTTGACGCCCGCCCACAGGTCTTCCTTGCCAGCCCAGGCCAGGGCGGGGGCGTGGGTACAAGCCGGCCAGAGCCCTTAATCTCCCCAAGCTGATTAGGGTCCTTAATTAGGCAGGGAGGGGCGGGCTAGTGGAGGATGAGAGCCCCTACTGCGCCTTTCTGGGATGGGATCTGCCCTGGCTTCCAGGTAGTCAGTCACATCCTTTCCCCTCCTTGCTCTCCAGCCCCCCACATCACCCTCATCACCATTACCCCTGTGCAAAAGCAGCCGCAGGCCCCCCTTTCAGCCTGTGGCCGCACTGCCCTACTCAGCCAGAAAGTGACAAGTGCCTGCCGGTGGACAGCTGTGGGTGATCCGTCCTGCAGAAGAAACTCTGATCCCACTCCCTTTCCTTACAATCTTCTGTTTCCGGTCCTGCCAGCTAAGTTCAAGCTCCATCCTTCGGCTGGTAAAGTTTGTATCCCAGAGACCAAACCCCCATCAAGCTGACACCTGCCTATCTTCTCTCACTTCTCTTCTCTCTCTCTCCACACTTGATTCCCTGACCTCTGCTTCTCCATGCCTAGAAAATCATCCCTTTGGCAGGACCTCAGGAAGTAAGGAAAAGAGCTTTGGCCTACCACAGACCTGGGTTCAAAGACCCTTTTACTGGCTTTTGGAGCTTCGGCAATTGCTTAATCTAAAGGTTGTTGTGAAAATGAATATAATTGCCCAGATGGTAAGAATAGCTAACAATTTTAGAGAAGAATATAATGGAAGATGCCCTGTAAGATATACAAATCTATTATAAAGCAATAGCAATTATATATTTATGTAAATATATAAAACATAGCAATTATATATTTATACAAGTATATAATATATAAAATGTAGTAATTATTTATATTCATATATAAAATAGCAATTATATATTTATATAAATATATACAAAGCTATAGCAATTATATTTACATAAATCTACATTATGAAGTGATACCAATTGTCTAAATAAATATATGTATTATAAAGCTATAGCAATGAAGATATTGTAGTTTTGGCACAAGGATAAACAGACCAATGAAATAGAATATATAGTATTGAAACAAGAACAGCAAATGTATGAAATAGTGGACATTTCTTACCAATTGGGAAAGAATGAACTCCAACAAATGGAGCTGATTAGTCATCTGGGAGGAATATAGAATTCAATCCCTATCTCACACCATACACAAAATTAATTCCAGGTTAAAGACCTATATGTGAAAAATGAAACTTAAAAACTTTTAAATGAATCATTTTCAGACGTAGTGGCAAAGATTGGATCAGGTAAGACTCATCAGTGGATTCGAATGCTAGGGGGAAATGTTGGATGAGGAGCAGGACTTCTGCAGGGTCTAAAAGTATCTCCCTGCAGATTGCCATGAGTTGGAAGGAGAGGGGGAAATAAAATAAAAACCAGTTATTGTACAGTGGAGAAATAGGGCAACATTTTGAGCAGGTGACCAAAATTAACCAGTGAGGGGCAGAGAGACATTCTGTGCCTCCAGATGTGATACCCTGAGAAGGATGTAATAGTGTATCTATGCAATGCTGCACAATACATTTCTGCAATGGTCCAGCATTATTTCAAACCTAATCACAAGAAAACATCAGAGAAACACTAAATGAGAAAGGCTGTACTAAAAAAGTTGGGGAGGACTGCATTCTTCAAAAATGTCAATGTCATAGAAGGCAAATAGAGGAAGGAGAACTGTTTCAGATTAAAGAAATTTAGGCTGGGCGTGGTGGCCCACACCTGTAAATCCAGCACTTTGGGAGGCCGAGGCGGGCAGATCACCTGACATCAGGAGTTTAAGACCAGCCTGACCAATATGGAGAAATCCCGTCTCTACTAAAAAAAAAAATTAGCTGGGCCTGGTGGCACATGACTGTAATCCCAGCTGCTTGGGAGGCTGAGGCAGGAGAACTGCTTGAACTCGGGAGGCAGAAGTTGAGGTGAGCCAAGATTGTGCCATTGCCCTTCAGCCTGGGCAACAAGAGGGAAACTCCATCTCAAAAAAAAAAAAATAATAATAATAATAATAATAAAGGAACCTAAAAAGACGTGACAATTATATGCAATAACTGCCCTTAGTTTGGATCCTGTATCATTGGATTTTTTAAAAGTGCTATAAGGTTATCGGGCTTGAGGCCAGGCACGGTGGCTCACGCCTGTAAGCCTAGCACTTTGGGAGGCCGAGGTGGGCGGATCATTTGAGGTCAGGAGTTCGAGACCAGTCTGGCCAACATGGCGAAATCCTATCTCTACTAAAAATACAAAAAATTAGCCAGGTGTGGTGGCATGCACCTGTAATCCCAGCTTCTCAGGAGGCTGAGGCAAGAGAATCACCTGAACTTGGGGGTCAGAGGTTGCAGTGAGCCAAGATCATACCACTGCACTCCAGCCTAAGCAACAAAGCAAGACTCCACCTCAAAAAAAAAAGTTTATAAAAATGCTATAAAGAACATCAGCATTAACACAAAAATTGACAATTGACAAAATTGGAATATCACAGGAGACTCAAAACAGTGTAAAGTTATGAAGTTAGTAACAGTAGTGTAGTTATGTTAGACTATCCCTGTTCATAGGAAATACACACTAAGTATTGTATATGTAACTGACCCTCAAGTAGTCCAGAAAAAATATATGTTAGATATGATATATACTATGTTGTATATATTATCAATTTCAAATAATAAACAAATGTAGTAAAATGCTAACGATAGGTAAATCTGGGTAAAGAGCCTGTGAGTGTTCTTTGCATGATTTTTATTTTTGCAAAATTTTTTAAGTTTGAAATTATTTTCAAATGAGTTAAAAATTTTAGATTGTAGAATTCAAAGAAAGTAGATCTGCTTTGAAGAAGGAACAAAGGAAAACATAAGAAAATAGAAAAATTAAAAGCAGAAATTTTTAAGAGAAAAAGTACGTAGACTGGAAAGACATCTTTATCAATTCATGGTAGGAATTGATTTATTTATTAAGCAAGATAGATAGGCTGGGCATGGTGGCTCATGCCTATAATCCCAGCACTTTGGGAGGCCAAGCCAGCAGATCATATCTACATGTGGCAAAATATGGACATCTATTAATTTTTGGTGGTAAATAATTGCTGTATGTAGGGATTTTCTGTATGCTTGAAATGTTTTCTTTCTTTTTTTTTTTTTTTTGAGATGGAGTCTCACTCTGTCGCCCAGGCTGGAGTATAGTAATGTGACCTCGGCTCTCTGAAGCCTCTGCCTCCCGGGTTCAAGCAATTCTCCTGGCTCTGCCTCCTGAGTAGCTGGGACTACAGGTGCACACCACTACACCCCAGCTAATTTAGTAGAGACGGGGTTTCACTGTGTTAGCCAGGATGGTTTCGATCTCCTGACCTGGTGACCTGCCCGCCTTGGCCTCCCAAAGTGCTAGGATTACAGGTGAGAGCCACGGCAACCGGCTTTAAAATGTTTTCTAATTTAAATTCAAAACTTTTTTTTAAAATAAAAAGTTTAGATGTCTGACCTATAGCAGAATTCCATATTCTAGTAGGCGACAATACCTTCCATGGGAAGTTACTTCCCCACATCTCCCATCTTCTGACTCAACATCTCTACTTGAAATCTTGGAAACTCCAGCCAACTCTTTCATTTCACACATGGTGAGAATGAGGTCCAGAGACCAATTTGGTGAAATCAATAATCTCACAACTTTCCTCTAAGGTCCATGGACTGATGGGTAATATAGATAAAGATGAAGGGGGAATTTTTTAAACCTTTTTTGGTCATAAAATATACTAAATGTAAAATTTACCACTGAAATAGTTTTTAAGTGTACAATTCAGAGTCATTAAGTACATTCACATTGTTGTGCAACCATCACCACCGTCCATCTCCAGAATTTTCCATCTTACCCATTGAAACTCTGCGCCCGTTAAATACTAACTCTCCATTTCCCCCTCCCTCCAGCCCCCAGCAACCACAGTTCTATTATTTTTTCTTTTTCTTTTTTAGAGACAGGGTTTTGCATTGTTGCCCAGGCTGGAGTACAGTGGCACGATCTCAACTCACTATCGCCTCAACCTCCTAGGCCCAAGCAATCCTTCCACCTCAGCCTCCCAAGCAGCTGGGATTACAGGCGTGTGCCACTATGCCTGGCTAATTTTTTAATTTTTGGCAGAGATGAGGGTCTCACTATGTTGCCCAGGCTGGTCTCCAACTCTGGGCTCAAGCGATCCTCCCACCCCAGGCTCCCAAAGTGTTGGGATTACAGGTGTGAGCCACTGCCTCCACCATTCTTCGTTCTGTCTTTATGAATGTGACTACTTTAGCTACCTCATGTAAGTAGAATCATACAGTATTTGTCCTTTTGTGTCTTTTTATTTCACTTAACATGATATTTTCAAGGTTTATCCTATGCTGTAACATGTATCAGAGGTTCATTCCTTTTTTTTTTTTTTTTTTTTGACAGAGTTTTGCTCTGTTGCCCAGGCTGGTGTGCAGTGGGATGATCTCAGTTCACTGCAGCTTCTGCCTCCCAGGTTCAAAACAATTCTCGTGCCTCAGCCTCCCGAGTAGCTGGGATTATAGACGTGCGTCACCATGCCTGGGTAATTTTTGTGTTTTTAGTAGAAATGGGTTTTGCCATGTTGGCCAGCCTGATCTCAAACCCCTGACCTCAGGTGATCCTCTCACCTTGGCCTCCCACAAAGTGCTGGGATTATGGGTGTGAGCCACCCAGCCCCACCTCATTTCTTTTTAAGGCCAAATAATATTTCATTGTCTGTACAGTATATACCACATTTTATTTATCCATTCATTCTTCTGTGGACCCTTTGCTTCCACCTTTTGGTCTTCGAGTCCCTGTTTTCAGTTGTTTTGGGTACATATCTAGAAGTGGGATTGCTGGATCATATAATGCTTTTTTGAAATAAGTATTTGTGTGTGTGTGTGACAGGGTCTCGCTCTGTTACCCAGGCTGGAGTGGGTGGTGCGACCTCAGCTCACTGCAGCTTCTGTCTTCCAGGTTCAAGTGATTCTCCTGCCTCAGCCTCCTAAGTAGCTGGGACTACAGGAATGCACCACCACACCCAGCTAATTTTTGTATTTTTGCTAGAGACGGGGTTTCACCATGTTGGCCAGGCTGGTCTCGAACTCCTGACCTCAGCACCCACCTTGGCCTCCCAAAGTGCTGGGATTATAAGTGTGAGCCATTGCACCTGGCCAGGATCACATAATTCTATGCTTGATTGTTTGAGGAACTGACACACTGTTTTCTACAAAGCCAGTGTCATTTTATATTCAAGGAGCAGACTATTTTAAATCCATTCTAGTCCTCATGCCAAGGTTGCACAGCCAGCCTCCGGCTACCACACTGCTTCTCACTTCCAGTGGCCCACATCAGGGCTTGTTACTTATCTGCTGCCTGCTAAATTTCTATTTCATCTGTAAGGTACTGAAACAAAAGATGCCCTCTTACATAAAGGGCGGGGCCAAATCTTAAAGTAGCAGTTGGCTGGAGTTACCAGAGGACAGAATTATATTTAAATCCAACTCCTGTACTATAAATAGCTTCAGCTGCAGGTGGCGCTTTCTCTCTGGAAGGTCTTGGTTTCTCTCCCGCTTTAGCGGCAAGGGGTGTAAAACTCTTTCTTCTGAGATTTTTAGTCCCTCTCCTGCTCCCCATAAAGTCATGAAATTTGGAGGAGTTGACAGAAGGAATTAGAAGTTGCTGTTTGTGGAATCACTGCAGCAGCAGATAAAGAAAAACGATTTCTTAAGTTTAAATGAAGCAAAACAACTTTTGAAACCAATTTGGCCTGAATCTCACAGTAGCAAACAAGTTCTGGAGTTCTAATAAAAACATATATATATTCAAGTGAAGTTAGAAACATTGAATCCAAAGTAGAGGGTAAAAGTCAGGATTCCATTGGTTAAAGAATAGTGAGGAGGAAACAGAAATATGTCATTTTTTTCACTAATAAATGTTAAAATAAGGATTGGGTGTGGTAGCTCACATCTGTAATAATTAATGTACCCAAAATCGTGTAAGCAAAAATAAAAGACTTTGTAGCTTTTAAAAATGCATATATGAGAAAATAGATTATTTTATGTACCGTTTTATAATTTGCTTCTCTCTTTAAAATATTTTATATTTGTTTTATGAAAATACAATACACTGACATGGTTCAAAAATAAAATAAATATAAAATAAAAATAATAAATAAATAAATAAATAAATAAATAAATATACAGTGAAAAGTCTCCCCACCACCCCTGTCCCCCGTCCGCCCAGTTTCCCCAAAGGGAGAGCCATAGGTAGATTCTTGCATGTTTTGTGGAAATCCTTGGGCATTTGCATAGAAGAATGTATTTTCTTCTACTCCCTTTTTTACATAAAAGGTAACAGTGTTCTGTACCTTGCTATCTTATTTTAACAGTCTCTTGGAGGTCTTGTTTCTTGTTTCATGGAGCACCAATAATGGCTGCACAGATTCCATTGACTCACAGTGTGTAACCTGGTTAATCAGTTACTCTTTGCTATTGCTGCTCCAATGAATAGCCTTGTACAGCCTCATTTTGCATATATCCAAGTACATCTATAGGCAAATTGCCCGGGGAAATGCACTGTAATTTGGAGAGATGTTGCCAAATTGTCCCCTATAGGGATTATGCCAATTTACACTGGTACCAGCAATGACTTAGAGTGTCTTGTTGTGTACAGCCTGGATGCAGCCTGTGTTTTTAATTTCTCCAATTTGATATTTAAAAAAGAAAAATGGCATCCAAGGGAAAAAAAGTATCATGGTGTAGTTTAAATTTGCGTTTCTCTTCTGAGTGAGGCCGAACATATTTTCATGTTTATAGGCCTTTTGCATATCTTTTTTGAGAACTGTCTGTTTATATCTTTTGCTCACTTTTCTGTTGGGTTATTGGTCTTTTTCTTATAATTTTTTAGATTTCTTTATATGTTAGGAGAATACACATTTATGACATGATTTGCAAAAAAAAATCCCAGTGGATGTGTCTGCTCTTTTTTGATGTGTCTACTCTGCTTATTATGTGAGTGTGTTTTTGCCAAGTACATTTTCAAATGTAGTCTTTTAAAATGTTTTAAATGCCTTTTGGATTTTAAATCAGTATCAGAAAAGCAAAAGCTACAAACACAGTCTCCAATTATTGTTTCATTCTTCAAGGACAACAGTCTCACTTTTCCATTTAAATCTGTGACCCATTTGGAATTTATCCTGATGTGAGGAGTCAGGTGTGGATCCAATTTTATTTTCTTCTGCCTGGTTCCCAGCTGTCCTATTACCATTCATTGAATAATTCATTTCTCCTCATATGATCATAAAGAACAATCCTCAATGTATCTTCAGGCATTTCTGGATTTTCTCTTCTGTTCCATTGGTCAGCCTGACTAATACAAACCACTACTATAATGTTTTCATGACTGAAGTATTATAATATTTTAAATTAACTTACAGAGCTACTCCCCATCCTCTGTCTCATGGCTCCTCCTTTCCAGAATTTTCCTGGTAATTCTTATGCATTAATATTTTATATTGACTTTTTAATCATTTTTCTAATTATTAGAAAGTCATTGGCACTTTCTTTGTTATTGTGTTAAACTTATAAATTAATTTATGGAAAATTTACATTTTATGATGTTGACTCTTTTTGTGCAAGACTGCTATGTGTTATGGGCTATTTTTGTATCATTCTGTAGTGTTTTTCTTTTCCTTAAGTGAGTTTGATGTATTTCTTGTTACTTCTTTTTTCTTTTTATATTGTATTTTTATTTTCTTTTTTTAACTTTTTATTTCCAAATCCCCAGAACCTATAAATTGTGTTGTTTATTTAAAAGCATTTTATTTTTTATATTGCTCTTGTAGGTCCTTTTCTTCTATTATATTTTCTAACTGGTGGTTGAGTATTACTTTCTAAGTCTAACAGTTACACTTTATTACATGTCCTGGACGTTTTTCATGTTCTTAGATATAGATTTACTTCATTTTAGTCAATAGTGTTTCTCCGTTTGAATGTAAGCATCTTGAGGTGGAAAGATTATCCTGGATTATCTGGGTGGGCCCTAAAGGTAATCTCAAGCATCCTTATAAGGGGGAGATTCGACACACAAAACAAAGCGACACTGAAGCAGGATGCTGCGCCGCTGGAGGACAGGGGCCAAGGGACGCAAGAAATACGACTCCGGGACTGGAAATGGATGGGAAATGGATTCTCCAGAGACAGCAAGGCCCCAGCAACACCTGGATTTGGGTCCATGAAACTGATTTTGGACTTCTGACTTCCAGAACTGTAAGAGAATAAACATGTGTTGTTTTAAGTCACCACGTTTGTGGTACTCCGTTACAGTAGCCGGGGAAATAGATAATGCGGGTCTTTCTCTGCTTTTGTGGATGCTGCCTGGCACACCTAAAAATGCAGGCTTGGGCCTGATGGGAGAGAATGGGAACCATAGGCCATCAGGAAGATTCTCTTTCCAAAGAGGGGAAGTATATCATCAACTGTATTTAATATTAAGTCCCCAATAATACAGTACATTTTAAACTCAGTCTCCAGTGGTACATTTCCAGGATTTTGTGTATTTTGTTCCTTTCCTTAAGAGATAGAACGCACAGTCTACCAGGTAGGTCTGTTAGCTTACCGCCAATGGACCTCCTGTTGTAGGTAAATCTTTTCTATGTGTCTCAATTATATGAAATCTTCATAGTTATGCTTTCAGTATTCCCGCTTTTCATAAGATAAATATTCAAAAAACGGTAAAACAAACAAACAAACAAACAAAAAAAACCTTGCTATACAGATGAGGATGTAGCCACAATGGAAAGTGAGGCTGGCTGGCAGGACCACTGTGTGATCCCTCCAAATATGTGTTTATCAGCATATGTCCAAAAACCTGAACTCAGCATGGAATGTAGCTATGAGATTTTAAAGTTGTATGTAATAAAGTTAAGCAAACTGAAGAAGGTTCCACGATTGGGGATGACATCCAAGTAGTGGTGAGATAGGAGGCAGGACCTGACTCCAGAGGTAGCACTTGGACTCCGGACCAGATTGAAAACTAGCTGAAACAAGGAAGAGTCGAGAACACGCCATACGGCACGCCCACGAGTGCCATGTCAGTTTACCATTGCCATGGAAACACCTAGAATTTAATTCCCCTTTCCACTGCAATGACCAAACAACCCAGAAGTTACCAACCTTTTTCTAGAAATTTCTGCATAATCCACCCTTGCCACCAGCTTGTCCTTGAATTCTTTCCTGAGTGAAGCCAAGAACCCTCCCTGGCTAAGCCTCAATTTGGGGGCTCACCTGCCCTGCATCAGTGAAACCCGTGACAGTAACAGAGGAAAGGCTACACCAAAGCTTGAATTGGCAAATTCTGGGTCTTTCCTATTCATCCAGGTTTTCCACGGCTCCACACAGTGCCAGGCATGTAAGGTTCTCAGGGAGTGCGAGTGGAATGTTATGATGCCACATTCCAGGGAAGCTCTTGACCATCCCACAGAGCTGGGATGATCTCATTTTTATTCCAGAACAGGTACCCTAAGAGCTGCAGAAAGTTGGTGAAGCACACCTGTGGAAACTCACCTGCATCTGGACCCGATCTGGACCCGATCTGGACGCAGAAATGCTAGACCTTGAGTTGATGCCATAATGGGAAGAGCCTTGTGTTTTCACGTCGTTGGATGTGAATTGTGGTCAGAGGGCAGGCTGTGGCATATTGTATTTTCTGAAGTTGTCCACAACAATACCCTTCATGTCACATACCTGTCATGCAATGCGACTTACTTTTGCACTCCTTTTTGAGAAGTAACATCTATGTCCCCTTCCTTTGAATCTAGATGGGCTGGTGGTTGTAAAGAAGTGAGGTAATGCGACTTCTCAGTCCTGGTCACAAAAGCCACCATACAAGCCGTGTGACTGCCCCATGGCTGCCGTGCTGGTGTAAAGACACCACATAGAGAGACCTTGAGTCTGTGGAGAGCAGGGAGTGTGGAGAGAAAATGCTTTGTGTTTTTATTTATTTTTATTTTTTGAGATGGAGTCTCACTCTGTTGCCAGGCTGGAGTGCAGTGGTGTGATCTTGGCTCACTGCAACCTCTGATTCCCTGATTCAAGCAATTCTACTGCTTCAGCCTCCCAAGTAGCTGGGATCAAAGCGCCACCAGGCCTGGCTAATTTTTTGTACTTTTAGTAGAGGTGGGGTTTCACCATGTTGGCCAGGATGGTCTTGACCTCCTGACCTCATGATCCGCCCACCTCGGCCTCCCAAAGTACTGGGATTACAGGCGTGAGCCACTGCACCTGGCCGTGTTTTTACTTCTAAAATCAAAATTGTTAAGGTATAATTTATTAAAAAATAAATGCACTCAGGTTAGTTGAAAGAGTCTAGATTCTCGTATTTTAGATAATTTTTTAAATATTATCTTTTATTTTTGAATATTGTCTTTTATAGTTTCGTGATTCTTTCTTATCACTTATGTTAAGTTTTTCAAACATTTAGGAGCAACAACTAAAACTTAACCACATGTTTTGCTGGCTTCCTTCTCACTATTGTTCCTTGTTTTACTATTTATTGTGTTCTGAATCTGATTAATGTTTACGTGGCAAGGTTGTAAATGTACACAATACACTCAGGGGCAGACAATGGAGACCATATCTGATCTTTCCTTCCTTCCTTTCTCACACCGGCAGCAGGAGGAAATGCATTAATTTGGTAGTTAATGGAATTTCTGTCTCCTCCAGATTAGATGCTGTCTTTTAAGTAAATATATAGTCATTTCCGAATTCATATTCTCAACGGGGCAGTCCTTCTCCATCTCATTGCCTTTTCCAAGGCGGCACTTGGGCATAGTGGGAGAGGGCTGGCTGTCTCGGTGCTGTCCCCAGCACCCTGACCCAGGGTGGCTAGTCTGGTCTCTGGACTAGCATCTGCTGGGAACTGCAGGTCCCACACGGTCCTGGGTATGCCATGGTGTCCACTGCTCCCAGCTACGGATGACCCATCTCCTCAACCCCAGGTCACAGCTGGCCCAGAGGCCTCTCAGCAGCTGGCCTCTCCTCACTGTGTCAAGTGGGAATACCTGGAGGCCTGGTGTCGTGCTGCAACATGAGGGGGCTGGGGGCCGTTCCTGGTTTGTCTTGCTTTCCACCTCCCTCTGCCTCTCCTATGCTCTTGCCCAAATCTTGCCTGGATGTTGCAACCCACAGGGCTTCTGGTTCAAAGCATCCCCTAGTCCATGTCCCTAAGTTCCCCATACCCATCTGGATGGTTCCACCATACCAGGCCCCGATTCCAAACCAAGAAGGGAAAACAAGAACATGTGTTCCTGGGCTCCCAGGCAGACCTCTTTCTTCTCCCTCTTTTGCATCCTCCAGGGCCTGAAGAGTTGGGCTTTGCTCCCTTTCAGGCAGAATTAAGCTCTTCCTCTCCGCTGCCATTCCCCATGCCCCATTTTTCTCCTTTTAGGGACCCCAACCATTGGCACTCAGCCTTAAGGTGAGGTGCAAGAGATGTTTTCTTTACATGGTGAAATAAATGCTATGCTTTTGAGTTGATGCTTCAGTTTTGATATTGGAACCAAGGACTTTGGAAATAGGACTTACTAAGGATAGAAATAATTGTAAATCCGAATAGAGTCCTCAGAAATTTCCTAAGAGAGTTCCTTAGGTAGTCTCCTAAATCACACTGCTCACAAAACAGCATCCATTTCATTATCCTCTGCTTTTATTGAGTTCTCCATTTTTACCATTATGGGCTGAATTTCTAAGAACTGTTTCTTGTTCTATGATTGCTCCTTTTTCTATAACGGGTTTTTTGGGGGGTGGTATTTTTATTGTGGTAAAATACACATAACATAAAATTTGCCATTTCAGTCTTTTTTCTTTTTTTGAGATAGAGTCTCACTCTGTTACTCAGGCTGGATTTTGGCTCACTGCAACTTCTGCCTCCCAGGTTCAAGCGATCCTCCTACTTCAGCCCCACTAGGAGCTGAGATTACAGGCACACACCACCATGCCTGGCTAATTTTTGAATTTTTAGTAGAGATGGGGTTTCACCATGCTGGCCAGGCTGGTCTCGAACTCCTGACCTCAGGTGATCCACCCGCCTAGGCCTCCCAAAGTGCTGCGATTACAGGTGTGAGCCATTGTGCCCAACCTCATTTTAACCACTTTTAAATGTACAGTTTAGTGGCATTAAGTGCAGCCAAAATTTTTGTGTAACCATCACCACTATAACTCTTAATCATCCCCAACAAAAGCTCTATGCCCATTAAGCACTAACGTCCCCTCTATTCTACTTTCCCCTCTATGAATTTGCCTATTCTAAACACCGCATATACAGGGAATCATACAGCACTTGTCCTTCCACGTTTGGCTTATTTCACTCAGGGTAATGTTTTCAGAGTCCATCCACGCTGTAGCATGTGTCAGAATTTCATTCCTATTAGAGGCCAAATAATATTCCATTGCATGATATACCACATTTTGTACACCAGGTTGTTTATTGCGAACGCGAGATTTCGCCACTGATGTTATTAAGGGTATTAATTTGAATATTTTAAGCACATTCTTACACTTAGAATTCGCGTACTCCATTCTTTAGCGGATTGCCCTTCCTTATCCACCTTTTTCAGGAGGCGGATGGCCCTTACTTCGGGGTGATTGTCTGTGGGCTGTTCACCCTGGCGAGCGGAGTTGGAGGCTGACGCTCTGGATGCTGGTGTGGGCTCCCTGGGGGTCTGCATGGATCATTTTTTGCAGCCTTCCTGCTCCTCTGCGGCTTATCCCCTCTTAGGGCTGTGTGGATGCAGACGAGGCCACAGGCACATTTCTCTGCAGGGACAGGAATAGCCGCCAGGGGGAGCCCCAAGGATAAGGCGCGAGGCAGCCCGGGCTCGAGTTGCGCAGGCACTGAAGGCAACTGGGCTTCTCCGCCCCCTGCTCTGTGAAGGTCAGGATGCGGCAGGGCCACTCTCCCGGAGCCTCGGTTCATCTGGCCGCAGCAGGTGGACCGCAGAGTGGTCGGGTTGCAGCGGCGCCTGGGCAGCTGAGGAAGTGGCTGGGTTGGGGTGGCGGCTGGGGCGCCGGGCGCCTTCCCTCTCCGGCTTCCGAACCCCCTTGTGCACGAGCCTCTGGCAGTCAGTCCCCGCCCCCATCCCAGCCCCCGTTGGCTTAGTGACGGAGGAAGCGCGGCGCGATCGGGCGGCGCTGGACACTCCTCAGCCCTGAAACCCTGATGCCTGGGGCCCGCTGCTCAGAGCTGGGCTGGGCGGAGCTCTGCTAGGGAG